CAAGAGAGATAGAGATAAAAATTGATGCATTGATATCTGTGAAATTCGATAGTTAATTCGATTTTATTTTATAATATTTATTTTATTTTATTGAAATGAATCTCTCATTTATTTTTTTAATTTTTTATTTTTTAATTTATATTGTATATATTTATTTATATTTATATTATTTTATTTATTTTATTATTCAAGAATCATTAAAATGTAAACTATGTATGTAAAATGCGCGTTGCGCAGAGTAACTTTATATATGTTATATATTGCATGATAATATTTGACATAATAGTTTAAATAAAAAAACAATCAGTTGATTGTACGACGAGAAAAAGACTTTCAATGACAGTGAAAGATGCTCGCGGCGCTTATAATGGCGCTCGTAAGCGTGTCACAACTTTGTTCAATTGATAGTCTTTCACTCGGTAATATAGTTGGCTGACTATTTTTTTTGTTTAAACTATCATGTAATTATTAATTATTCAAATTTCAGTTTTGGCAGTATCACTAAATTTAACGATTGTTTATATATATTTATATAACAATTGACGTATAACGATTTATATTTTAGTCAACTGATTATACTTTTAGATTGTTTATTATATTTCTATTGTTGATTTATTGTTGACTATTATTATTGATTATATTTTTAGATTGTTCCTAACATTATTAACGAACATATAACTATATATATATATATATTCTATGCGCTCTAACAAGTTATGGACATAAGAGTTGTATAGATTTTGAGTAGTTTCGTTTTTTTTTTGTTTCAAAGAAAGTGAGGTTAAATTTTTTTTTCGCCACGTGTTTGTTATAACAAATAAAAAAATGGATTCAACATCAAAAATACACAGAATAGAGACATTATCGAAAGATAATTATGAAATCTGAAAAATCTATATGGAAGCATGGTTAACGAGAAATAGAAATTGGAAATATGTCCTTGCTAAATGTCCGAAACCAGATCTTATAAAATGATTTTATAGAAAGCCTTTCATAAAAATGTTGAAATTTGGAAAAAAGCTGATTCCATGGCGAAGATGTTGTTAGCAATAAATCTTTTGAAGTCAGGCAAGTAAAAAAATTTATAGATGAAATTTATAATTTTATGAAATTTATAAAAAATTAGAAGAAATTTATCAATCAAAAAGTTCTTACAGAAAGGCTGTTTTATTTCGTAAATTTTGTTTTACATAGAATGTAAGAGAGTGATGATATAAAAATGCAAATGAATGATTTTTTTGAAATGATTGATAAGTTATGTAAAATTGCTATTGAAATAAATGAGAAATTGTTATTGTATTTATTTTTAATAATTTTATTTTAATAATTTGTCAGAAAGTTTTCAGGTTTTTAAATGTATGCAATTTAGAGATAATTTACCAAATAAATATTATTAAAATAAAAATTTTAGAAGATTTAGATTCAAGGAAAAATGAATTGAAAAATAGTCAAATGTTATTGGATCAAATATATAAAGGAAAACAGCATTTTAAATCACAGAAGAAAGACTATAAAAATAATAATATATAGATAATAATAAGAGGTTTATTAATATTAAATGTTTTAAATGTCAAAAATATGACCATAAAATGTATGAGTGATTATAAAAGAAATAATACTTATTCACATTTGCATAAGAGTAATAGAAGCAAAAATCAGATTTACATTTGGTATTTAGATAGCTGCACTTCTCATATGTTTCGATGAAAAAAGATTTTTTGATTTAGATACAAAATATAATATAACATTAAAATATAATAGTACATTAAATCTTATTACTAGTGTTAAAGGTAAGAGATATTAAAGCTATATTTAAGAATAGTAAAATCACCAGATTGCTAATTTGCATAATGCTTTATTCCAAATTTAAGAACTGATTTTCTATAGCCAAGATTGCAAATCAAGTATAACAATAATTTTTCAAAGAGATAAAGCATTAAATTTTATAGAAAATAATGAGCTATATCCATTAGTATAACAAAAAAATTATATAATTCTATTTTTTAAAAATTAAAGTTGTCTTTCATTTGATCTTTATACATCCATGTAGAAAAAGTTAATTAGATTATGTATTTCCTAAAACTTGTCAAATATTTGACTGAATTGATTTAAATGTGTCAATCTGTATATAATTTTTTTATATGTTATTCTATTGTTACTATAGAATAGCTTGTATAGAATAGTTATTATCATTAAATTTTATGCATTGCATTACTATTTATAACAAAAAATTTTTCAGGTATTGATTGCAGGACATATTCTAATATTATTAATTTTTTTTATAAATAGGATACATAGAGGACATATAAAAATTATTAATTTATATTAATTTATATTTATTAATAATAAAGTTTTCTAAATGAGTATATTTTTTGATAACTAATACAATCGTAACTAATACAACTTGATATTTTTTATAAAAAAATATTAATTTACTCATGAAAAATTATTAGTTTAAATTATTTTAATTTGAAATTTGTAAAATGTATTATATGAAAAATAAGAAGAATACGAACAGTAGAATGTCGCTTTGCATATTATTTATTTTTTGATAAGTAATTGATAATAAATTTTATAAATTACAATTTAAAATGATTTTTGACACACAATTTAAATTGATTTTGGACACAAATAAATTTTTTTCATTCTTTTTTAGAAAATATGAGGATATAAAATTATTTCAATTGGTGCGGTGCAAAAAAAAAATATATAATTTCATTTAAAAAAATATATCTACTTATAAAAAAAAAAAGAACTAACAATATCAAAATGTTCTTCCTAAAATCATTCAAATATTCTTGATGTGAAATATGTTTTGCTATGGATAATGAACTAAATAACTTCAAATAATGAACTATATAATGTATCTGTTAATGTATAGTTGATTAAAAGATAGTATCATGCAGTATATTAATAACAAAAAATGTTTTCTCTTAATATAATATTTTTTTCAAAATATATATATGCATATTATATAACATAACGTAATAAATATAATAAATAGTAATAATATAATGTAAAATAAATTTCAAAAAATTTCCAAAAATAAATCATTAAAATTTAATGAACTTTAATTTATATTACTATTAATAAAATTTATAATTTTGAAACTAATACGAATTCAATTACCGAATAATAGAAAAATTGATAAAAATAGTTTTTTATGATATATTCGTTAGTAAAAGTATGAAGTATTATGAACAAAAGTAATATACATATAATGATTCAAATATATTCTAGATATTTTTAAGGAAAAGTTTTCAATTTCCTTAAGCATGTTATTTTTCGTGAATTTTTCAAAAATAATGAATTTGAAGATAAAGCAGAATTAAAATTTATTTCATTCACATTTCATCTCACATTAATTCACTTACATTTTTGTATTGATTCATGTTGACTATTCCGCGATCCGAATGAAAATGAAAATTCTATCATTTACAATACATATGCAATTGTTATTTCAAATAAAAAAAAAAAAAAAAAAAAAGACATTCAACCTTTTGCAAAACTATTAAAGTAAAATGCACCTATTAAGTTATAGAAAATTGAAGGAAATTATCTAGAAATATAACACAGAATCTACAAAATTTTCATTGTGAAATAATATAAAGTGTGTAAAGATAAGATTGACATTAATGAATAATTAATTTCACTTTTATAATAGAGATAACTTTTAACTTATAGCTTCTATCATTCATTTGAAACATTTCAAAGTATACAATGAAAAAATAATGCAAAAATATTAAATGGAAATTTTATGTTTTCATTCCTTTTTTCTAAGAAAAAATAAAACTATAGTGTTTATTCGATTGTCGTATAACAATGAACATAATTCAATTTATTCTCAGATTTTTATTGTCCGATGATCTTTGGCTACAACTTCAAAGAATATTTTATTTCTTTATACTTATATTTTCTCTATTTCTTCAGGTATCGGGTAAATTTAATTATTTAATTAATAATTAGTTAATGATACAAATTATAATTCAATTATGGAAATAAAATGAAATATGATATATATTAGATATATATTATAATATATATAATCATTCATGAAAGATTTTGGATAATTTTTATGAAAAAATCATTTATAAGAAAAAAAAAATATAAGTTTTTACATATAGTATAAAAATATAACATAATTTATTTTATTATGAAGAGTTTTTATGTCTTTATGTGTGATTATACTATACTTATATCATTAGTATATCAATACTTATATCAGTATTTTTAACATTATAAAAAAATAGATAGTCAAATTTATATATTCTATTATATTGTAGTTGATACCAATTTTTACAACATCATTAGAATTGGATAATATTGTAAATGATATATCGTTTATTACATTAAATCTGATATTAATGATACTGCACGGATCATACTGCTATTCTATAAACAAAGTATGTTTTCGAAAAATCAAGATAAACTTTTAAATAAGTGTAATATTGCAGTTTATATTTGTATATAAATATTTTTTTCCTTTTTTTTTTATAATAAATCAAGCAAATATTTAATGTGATGAAAAACAATTATTATAAATTAGATAACAATGAAGAGCACAAAATAATAAAACATTATATCGATATTAGAACATATTTAATTAAATTTCTTGCAAGTAAGAATTTAATTAAACAAATTATATTAATAATTTTTCATCTTTTTTACAATTTTTATTTTTTTACTTAATTTCACCATAACATACATTAAATTTGAATTTAATTTTTTTAATATTATAATTTAATATTATATATAATTATATATATATTTATATATATAATTTAATATTTTTTGTTAATTTTTAAATAATTATTTGTAATGAAAACATAACAAATTGAAACATAAGATTAAAATCGCAAAAATCAAATATATTTCTTATTTAATTAATTCAAAGCGAAAATAAAAATATTGAATATTTAATCTTATTATATTTTCAGTATGTCTAATTCTATGTTTTTTTCTTACAATG